AAATCATCACCGAATCGATCCAAAGAGTCCGAAGAATACGTTTTCGCCATTTTTATCTTAAAATCAATTCATAACTCAATTAATAATGAATACAAAACTTAATGACAAAAATAAAATAATTATTGGATTGAATGCCAACTCTTTGTACAGTTTTTCAAAACCGTAGTCCTGTTTTTAGTGATAGTGTTAGAGGGGGTGGGGGTTAGTGGGCGTGTGAGTGTGATGGGGTGTCTGGCCGTACATACCGTTGCCATTCGACGCCTTCTTGTGGTAAATCCCGAGTGATTTGTTGCGACAATTGGTCCGACACTAGAGACTGATTACCCGATACTATTGGGAGAGTGTGATAATTGTGGGATCAATTGAAGTGATGATTACAAGACTGTCACAACTGGTGTTTCCACTTACCGGTGATCAACGGTTTCTCGTCCGAAGACATGGCCCTCCGAAGCGGTGGCGGTGTTTGTGTGGATCCGTTTGTTGTCCAAGAAGTTTGCGATGACTTTTGTGTCCGGATTTGGGTTTTAATTGTGATTTGATTTCTAAATTGTGTCAAACATTTGGTTTGAGTTTTAGGTTTTGTTTACTAAACAAATGGTTTGATAAATGAGTTAACAATTTGTACATAAATTACGGCTATTTTTGTAAACTTTTTGTTTGGCAAAAGTTTTCATTGACTAATAATTAGCCACTAATTGATTGATTGAATGATTAATATATTATGATATTTATGTTATTTAAATGCTTTTAATTTATAATTCAGTTAAAACTTAACAATTTTATAATTAGTTGCATTTAAATCAGCTTTTAATTGGTTTATACATTCAATTAAATATTCGCAAATTAATTAAATAATGATTTTATTTTAATTGAAAGTACAGTAAGTTTTCGGATATAAAAGTAAAACTTTGATATCGTATTAAATGTAATGTTATATCAAATAAAGTTATTAATGATTATATTGTGATTATAATGCATTGTCATTAAATGTATAAAAACATAATTAAATGTTATGTAAAAAAGAGTTTTTAATTGAATAAATGTGTGAAAATGTGGTGTAAAAAAGATGTTTCTAATTAGTGTCATAAAAGGGTGAACTCGTGTTCAAACATAAGTCTAGGAATTGAACTGAAAATGAAAAACTGAAATGTAATACAAAAATGCAAATCTAAATATTTAAAAAATGATAATAATAATGGTTAAAATGAGACAATTTATTCCTCCAAGTCTTGGAGTTGATTCGATGAGTGACTTTCATCACAGAATAATATGTGTAATGAATGTCTTCATACATTTGATGGAAAATCCCAATGAATGAATTTAATAAAACAAATTGTGGGACAATTAGTGAGAAAATTATTAATAGATATTTCACTAATATTTTTTTCCCAGTTTTTAGTAACTCCTTTGAGAGTAATGCCACGGATTTGTCTC